GCGAGAATGGGCACTGACGTGCGGCACTTCGGTCGGAGCTGAAATTGCAGCTCTCACGAAGTTTCTCGCCGCCTAATTAGGTGTATCGCGTGCGATCGCGTTTTCTTGCCGCCCGACAGGGCAACAAGGAACTGGTGGACTTTGTCCAAGAGGTGCGAGCTGTCATTGCCGGGATGGCAGCTGATGCCCTTCCGGAGGCGGTTACAGTGACCGTCTTTATGGAAAGCCTCCGCACTGGCGTGACCAGAATGGAAGTCTTCCATATGCATCCGTCTTCATTTGAAGTGGCGGTGAATGTGGCGCTGAATGTCGAGTTTAATTTCAAGTCGGCACGACTTGATTGGAATGCACACTCCAACAGCTCATCGAGCGGGCCTATGCCCATGGATCTCAGCTATGCTGAGAACGAGGGAGCAGGGCTCCGAGCTGCCGGGCAGCACACAAATTCACGACGGTGTTTTGTCTGCGGAGACACCCGTCACCTTCGGAACGGTTGGCCCCTGTGCAAGGCGCGTCAAGTTTCTTCGAACCATCGCCTCAACGCCTACCAATCGAGTTCGTCACGGGGAAACGACACCACTCAGTAGGCGCGGGGCGATCTACTGGGGAAGAACTGAGCTCTGTTGAGCCTCGGGAAGGCATAGGTCAACAGAGCCCAGCCCCGAAGACCTCCATGCTCTTGAACACGGAACGTGTGTGCAAGCCGGACTTGCTGGTCGTGAAGGCGACCGTTAAGGGCTTCGAGAAGCCATGGAAGATCCTCGTCAATTCTGGGGTGTCGGTCAATTATGCACGACGCTCCGCGATGTAGGGAAGTCAGCTGTATGCTGAGGCGCTGAAAGCGCGGTTTGGTGTCATCGTCATTGTTCACCTAGCGGCGGGGACACGTGTCACGGTACTGAAGGTCCCTGTAGACCTCGGAGTCAAGTTCCTTGACTTTGTTAGCGTGGAAAGCTGTCTAGTCTTAGAGTTGGATACAAGGTATGACCTCATCCAATGAATGGCATGGTTGGAACACCATGAGCCATGGATAAATTGGAGGTCATTGACCAAGGAGACAAAAGCGCTATTGGCGAGAGCACTGGACCGAGATGGTCAACGTGCTAGACATTGGAATGTCCGAGTTGGTAGACACCAACGGTGCATTGGACAGGAGTCCCGAGCGAGGCTCGCGGGCTGATCGTGGAATAGCACGTAATCCACTGAGCGCTGCTCAAGTTTCAAAGCAGTCGCTGCATGTCATGGTCGGCCAAGGGCCAAGGCATCGAAAGCGAGGCCCTCGAGATGCACGTGAAGTGGCACGTAAACCACTGAGCGCTGTTCGAGTATCAAAGCAGTCGCTGCATGTCATGCGTGACATAGTCGGCCAAGGGCCGACGCATCGAGGGCGTGGCCCTCGTGGTGCGCGTGGAGTGGCACGAAAATCACAGAGCACTGCTCTCGTTGCGAAGCAGTCGCTGCATGCCTTTGATGGCGTTATCGGATAGGATCCGAGGCATCTTGGGCACGGCCCATCAGATGCGCGTGGAGTGGCACGTTATCCACTGGACGAA